CACTTTTGATACTGCAGGCTTTGAATAGAATTAAAGTATCCTATGTCTAAGACATTAAAGTCTGGGATGTTGGGGGGTTGGTTGGTAACAGCAATTCCGGACACGCCGCGCGTCTCCAACATACTTGTCGTGAGGCATTTGTGTGGGCTGGCATTGTCGTATTGGATTGTTAAGCCCGATCGCTGTGTAGAGCGAGGGAACTTGGCCTATATTGCCGGCACGACATTATTTAACACCATTTCCAAATATATATTGGAGTCCACAGATTTCGGAGTCATCACAATTGTGCCTTTCGCGCGGTTCTTGGAGTTTTTCGACAAATGGCCAAACGCCAATTTTGCCGTAAAAAAATGTTGCCATTTAAGTCAACTCGAGGGCGGGCAATCACCGCCAAAAACATAACTTTTGTTATAAATCGCTTCGACTTCACAAAACGAGCAGCCATAGCATCATCCTCGTACACGTAAAACTTCTTTTTCAACCTCGTCAAATAAAACCATTTTTCGTCGATATGCACGAAATTATTTTTTTGACAATGTGCATATTGTCAAATTTTCATTCAACGAAGGTCGAAGGAAAGAAATTGCGTACCGCAGGCGCTCTTCAAGATTTCTTGGAGTCAAAAACGGCTTCACGTAACTTGAACGAGCCTTCAGCCGAGGACATTCTTGCATGTGTCGAAACACCGTCGTCGTTGGAATGTTGCACGCATGAACAAGAGCTCTCATCGTCTGCCGCGAGGCCTGGGGCACTTGTCGTATCGCGTCTTCGATGTCATCACTCGTGCGCGTTTTTTTTTGCGACCAGAATTTCCAAGAAAAGTACATTTTTGGTAAATGAATAATCTTCAAATTCAATAATCATATAGATTGATAGAGGTATACCTCGGATTTTTTATGCAACATCGGCACGAATGTGGCCCGCTCGGATGGAGCTCCGTCCACGTGCCCATACGCGAGACACAATGTCGGGGTGGCATTCGTGCTGCTTGGCAGCTTTACGATGGCGCCACGAGGCAGTGTGCCAGATGACGAGACGGCTCTCATAGATCGAGCGCTGCTCGTTATGGTCAAGGTGGGTTTTACCACCTTTTGGCCCACGGGGGTTGCGCGGGCGGTCGGCAATGACGGCGGTGGGCTGCGATGGCATGGTTCAGTAAAGCTTGATGGTTGTGTGCTGCGCGTGCTTGCTGAGTTGTGATGATACGGCAATGTGTGAAAGTTTGGACCAAAGGACACCCGATATTTCGCGCCCAATATCTCATGAACCGAAAAGCTCTAGAACGCTATAAACCTACCCTATCAAAGCAGAGATCTTGTGCTTGCTTGTACACCAATCAGCTCGTAATTTGAGCGACATTTAGAAAAATGCCGCCAATCGGATGACGTACTCTGCAACTATTTTGGAACAGAGTAGTACATTCAAGTCTCCCATGCAGGCAAACAAGTTTCAGAGGTTTGAATATTAATAACGAGAGGAATAAGTTTTCACAAGTCCATTAAAACTGAAGTTATAATCCATCAGTACAAAC